ATTCAGCCTTGACTTAGGTTTACCTTTAAGTTTAGCATTAGGATCAGATTTAGGTTCAAGGCTAGGGTTAAGCATAGGGTTAGGTTTTGGTTTAGGGATAATTTTAGAGTTTGCTTTAAGTTTAGGGTTGGTTTACAATTAAGCATAAGATTAGGTTTGAGTTTAGGGTTTGTGTTAGGATTAGGGTTCCCTTTGGCATTATTGTTAGAATTCAGTTTAGTTTTGTTAGGGTTAGGTTTTGGTTTCAATTTAAGGTTATATTTAGGGTTATATTTCACATTTAGGCTAGCATTTGGGTTAGAATTAGTGTTCTGGTTAATGTTTGTAATCTGGTTCTGGTTAGGATTAGATCTTTTGTTGTAATATACACTTCAGAATTTTGTTTTGTATTTTTGTGAGAAATTTGATCATAGGTTGCTGGAGATTGCTTTAAAGCTATAATTTTTGGTAATATATTCATGGACATGTAATGGTCAATGCATTAGAAAGAAATAACTCACCTCCCAATGGAGATGATTCCATATCCTCTGGTGAGCAGAATGCCAGAGGCCTGCAGTATAAAAGGCCACATCTTCTGCTGAGCCTACCAACACAGACCAGAAGAGAAGATGCCAACACACTGAAGTTCTGCCATCATTGGTGGAACATCAGTGAGCAGCCACTTGCACCTGTCCACCACCCTGGAAACCTCAGATCAGACAAACTCAGGCACCACTTGGTCATGGGGTATAAACTTGATGATTTGTTGCATTTTTTTGTCAGTATTTTATTGAGGATTTTTGCATCTACATTCCTTAGGGAGATTGGCCTCTAATTCTCTTTTTTTGGTGGGGTCTTTCTCTGGTCTTGGTATTAGGGTAATACTTGCTTCCAGGACTGAGTTAGGTAGACTTGCTTCCCTTTCAGTTTCATTGATGAGTTTGAGGAGTATTGGCATTCAGTCTTCCCTAAATTTCTTATAGGATTCAGTGGTGAGCTCATCAGGACCTGTGCTTCTTTTTGTTGGTAAGGTTCTAATTACATTTTCAATTTCATTAACTGAAATTGGGTTATTCAACAGTTTTACGTCTTCTTGATCCAGCTTTGGTAATTCATATGTTTTTAAGAACCTGTCCATTTCTTCGGTGTCATTGAACCTATGAGAGAAAAAGTTTTTGAAGTAGTTACTGCTCATCCTCTGTATTTCCATAGGGTCTGTAGTGATTTCACCCCTTTCCTTTCTTATTGTGTGGATGAGTTCTTTCTTTCCTCTTTTTATAAGGTTGGTTAGAGGTTTATCAATTTTATTTATTCTTTCAGAGACGAACTCTTTGATTCATTAATTCTTTGTTTTGTTTTCTTAGCTTCAATTGCATTAATTTCTGCTCTGATCTTCATAATTTCCTCCCTTCTTTGGGCTTTGGGCTTGACTTGCTCTTCTTTTTCTAGAAGTTTGAGATGCAGCATTAGATTGTTCATGTTTGCTCCATGTTTATGATGTGGGAGTTTACTACCACAATTTTCCCTCTGAGAACTGCTTTCATTGTGTTCCACAGGTTTTGGTAAGTAGTATTTGCATTTTCATTCTATTATAAATATTGTTTAATGTCTTCTGTGACCCATTGGTTGTTTAGAAGAGTGTTATTTAATTTTCATGTGTTTATGTAGTTTTGTGGCTTCTTTTGTCATTAATTCCAATTTTATTGCCGTATAGTCAGATAACATGCATGGGATCATTTCAGTTCCTTTACATTTACTTATACATGCTCTGTAGGCTAGTATATGGTCTATTTTAGAGAGTGATCCATGTGCAACTGAGAAGAATGTATATTCTGATGTTGTTCATTGGAAGACTTGGTACACATCTAGTAGGTCCATTTGTTTATAAGTTTGATTCAGTTCTGTTATATTTTTGCTCATTTTTTGTTTGGTTGATCTGTCTCTTTGTGACAATGGGGCATTAAGGTCCCCTGTTATAACTATGTTATTTCTTATTTGATTTTTCTTGTCTATTATGATTTGTCTTACATAGCTGGGTGCTCTCATATTTGGTGCATATATATTAATGGTTGTAATATCTTCCTCTTCAAGTTTTCTCTAACAAATATGTAGTGATATTCTTTATCTCTTTTGGTCATTCTTGGTTTGAAGTTAACATTGTCTGCAAACAGAATAGCTACCTCTGCTTTTTTCCGGGTTCCTATTACATGGAGTATTGTTTTCCATCACTTGATTTTCAGTCTATGAATTTTCTATGACTTAAGTGTGTTTCTTGTACACAGCATATTGTTTGATTTTGTTTCTTAATACACTCTGTCAGTCTGTTTCTTTTGATTGGTGAGTTGAGACTATTTACATTGATGTGTAAGGACTCATCTCTGTAATCTTATCTTTTTGCTGTTGGTTTTCTATGTTTTCTGTTTAATTTTTACCCTACTTAGTGGTTTCCTTTTGCTGTTGTTCTTTGAATTGTTCTTATCTTTATCTTTTTTAAAGCGTATCTTTGAGTACTCTTTGTAGTGTTGGTTTGGTGATCATGAATTTCTTCAGTTGTTCTTTGTCATGAAAGTATCTTACTTTTCCATCAAATTTCGTTTTGTTTTGTTTGTCTTTTTCGTTTTTATCGGTACCAGGGATCGAACTCACGACTGTCTGCTTGCAAGGCAGGTGCTTATGCCGCTGAGCTAAATCCCCAGCCCCTCTCCATCAAATTTCAAAGATAGTTTTGCAGGGTACATCAATCTGGGCTGGAAGTTGTGTTCTTTCAGGACTTGACATACTTTGCTCCACACTCTTCTCTTTTTTCCAAGCTCTTTTTTTTTTTTTTTTTTTTTTTTTTTTTCTGCTGCTGCGTGTAGGAGCCTGTCCCGGTGCACTTGCAAGCTCTTCTTTACTTCAAGGTTTGTGCTGAGAAATCTGCTGTGATTCTAGGTCTGAGAGTATATTTTCAGCTTCATTCAAGCAGATTTTCCAGATTCGAGTGGAATTTTTAATTTCCTGAATATCCCTTTGACTCTGTTTCATGAATTCTAATTCTGTCTTATATTGTTTATTCAAGGTTTCCATCATTTTCTTATATTCCTCTATTTTTATCTAGATCTTTGGATACACTCAACATTTTGTTCATAATGTTTGTCATTTCTTTTTTTGCCTGGGAGATTATTTCTGATCTGATTTCCTCTAGCTTCATGGAGTTGTTTCTTTACTTCAGTTGCTATCATTTCAGAAAGTTCAGTTGTGCAATTTCCAGTCTCTTCCATTTCAGTGTCTTCCATTTCAGTATCTTCCATTTTAATGTCTCCTGGGTTTGTTATTGGTGGACAGGAGGATTGAGACTGCATCTTGCTCTTTAGTTTTATCATTTTCCTCTGGGTCCTGTGCAGCTGGCCAGGCACCCTCTCAATGGATTGCACAGGAATGCTGCACTAGGTAGAGCTTCAATCCTCCAGTTTCCATGTGGCTAGCTGGGGTACACCCATGAACTATGGCACTGGAGCCTTGCCCTGTGATGGGCAGAGTTCAAAATCTTCAGGACCCACTGACTAGGCTGGTCACTCCCTGATGGACAGCTCTGGGACTCTAGGATGTGCAAGCCTCAGCACCTGTCACCTGGGAGGCTGGCTGGGCATTCCCCTGATAGAATTGCGCTGAGACACTGGGTTGGGCAGAACTCAGACCCTCCATGCAGCTAGCAGGGATACTCCTGGGGGGTGGTGCTGGGGCCTTCTTTCATGGCTTACTGACACTAATTACTGGCTTCTTAAAATTCTAATCTCAGTCTTAAACCCTTTACTCCTTTCTGCAGGTGAGAAGCTATGAACTATTCCCAACCTGGTTATCACAAAACTGCCAAATTTTCACTTCAGAGTTTTCAAAGGGCTTAGAAGTTCTTGTGTCAGAATTCCTGAACCATTATACATAATGTAATATTCTGTGTTTATTCTTATGTGCACTTGTGGTTAATTTTCTCTAAAGCAGAAACATCCTGGTGAAAGGAAATGAGAAATATCTACACATGTCTCAGGAGAGCCAGGAAGCACAGTAAGGAAAGCACATAGAGGAAAGGACACAGGCCAGAAACAGTTCACAAAAATTAGACAACCACACAAACACAGATGTGTGTCTTGCTAATATCTTACCCAGCGCTGGAAGGGCGTTTTTGACCATCAAGAGTATCACATGGCTCCAGGTAACAATTTCCTTCCAGTGGATATTAATGTTTTACAGATCTGCAAGGAGATGACTGTACTGCATATGGCCTTATATTCTGAAGTCCTTAAGAGTCCCCACCTCATCACCAGAAGGTGACTGAGTATCAGCCTTCATTTCACCAGTCATTTTTACTCTTGAGAATGCTTGGCAATATGTTCATTTTCAGAAATGAGATTTTCTTTCTAACCCTGAATGGAGTAGTTCACCTGGCTGAAGCAGTCAAAATGTTTGCTTTTATTTTATCCTGACTCTTATGCAGAGTATTTCTATCATTTAAGTCCAGTTCCTTCATTTATTTTGTATACATTCTCTTGGCATACATTCATTTTTTTGAGCAGAAAATGAGTAGACTGAGATAGCACGACAGTGTGCTGGCCATGAAGAACCCTAACTCGCTCCCAGTATCGGACCCTCCCTCTGTTCCATCATGCCCTGGCCTGTCCTGGACTGGTGACATTCTCTAATATCAGAAGTTTCCTCCATGGTGTCCTGACTCAGGGAATGCCTGCATGCATGCATGATTCCACTTTCGAGAACAACACCAGGAACAGTGCAGAGAATCTAGTAAGATGCCCCAGGCATCTGTGCGAAGCCTGCATCAAACTCTGCTTAAATGCAGTCACTATTCAAGGCAGGTGACATCTTGGGAAAGACTCCCCCCAACTCCCCTCTCTGAAATTCACCGAGTTACTGTCACTCGGCTTCACCCACTCAGGGATTTGTTTTCAGTGTCAGCGGGAGGGTGGGCAATGGAGCAGGAGCCAATCGGAGGGACTCTATAAGCCGTCCAATCAGGTGAGCCGTAGCGAGAGGGCGGTTCCCGTGTCCCGTGGCTGAGGCGGAGCCCCGCGTGCTTGCGGCTGTCCGCCTGGCCGGCCGCCTTGCCGGGTGGCCTCTACCTCTGCCACCTGCGTGGGGCTCCGCGCGGGAGACCGAGAGGCCACGCCATGGTAACGGTGTGGAAGGTGGGGCGCGGTCCGATGGGCGGGCTGAGCTCTGCGGCTCCTGCTGGCTGTGCCCGGGAGCTGGCTGGTGCTGGGGGCGCCGCTGGGGTCCTCTCTCCCGCCCCCCGAGGGGTGGAGAGCTGTGCTGGCACGCGCCTCGTACATTCACATCATGATTTGTGCCATCCACACTGACACCTGCGGGAGCGGTGCCTCTTTCTCTCAACTGGACAACACTAGACTTTTTCTAATTTGATTTACAGTGAAACTCATTTGCTTCTTTTCAATTTTTTTGTATTTATGTCCAATTTTGTGCCTTTTTAAAATTTTGTCACGTTCTTCTGTACACTATTTACTCCTAACATGTGCTCATATTTTCTTTGCTATCCAGAAATACTGCTTCTTGTTTTTGCCTATTTAAGTGACTTTATTTTATAATTTTCTGGAAGCTATCTGGATTGTGCTTTTGAAGAATTGTAATGCAACTCAATTCAACTCAATATAGGTTTCCTAAAGTATTCACACTGTTAAGTGTGTTATAACTTGGTCATCCATTCTCGTCTGCTGTAAATGCATGCTGCTTCCCGAGTCCGTGTTAATAAAACATGGCTAGTTGCTAAACTTTGGCTTACTTAGTATTAGGGTATTATTTTACTCTAATCAGCATGGTGAATGTTAAGACCGTTCTTTTTGAATCGATAAGGAAAAAGATACCTAACACATTTTTCAATCACATGGAATTGCTTTACCATAAGCATGATTTCCTATCTCTCCCACAGTGAGTTGGTTTGTGTACATGAATGGTATTGATTTTTGAGTGTTAATTTTGTATGTAGCTGCATAACAATTTGGATATTAAATCTAGAAATCTTTTGGTAGAGTTTTTGGGGTCTTCTGTGTAGAGTAGTATGTCAAATGCAGATAATAATAATTTAACTTCTTCCTTTCCTCTTTATTCCTTTTATTTCTTTCTCTTGTCTAGTTGCTCTGGCTAATGTTTCCAGAACTGTGCAGCACCAGGACTGTGGGATAGGGAAAAATTTTTAATGAAGGGACTCATGGCTGAGCAGTTTCACCGCAACACCCCAGTCACGGTACACTATGGAAGATAAAACAATTCCATACCTAGTTCTAATTTATGCTGATTCTGGAAAGCGTTCTAACTGCCTTAACCTCTGGGGAAGACACCTGGATTTCTGCTCTGTATTGCCTTCTGCTGTCTTCTCACTGCCTTTCCTTGACTGCAGTGGACTGCAGGCATGTCTGTCCAGCACTGTCACCTCTTAGGCTTGAACTCCTTTTCCTTAGTGGATACTCTTATCTCTCTGGAGAAAGAGACGACTATGAGCTTTTGTTATGTGTTCTGTAAGTGATGAAAACTTCAGTCCCTGAAGTCCTGCTGAGTCTCCCCCGGATTCCCCACACTCTGAGGACCGCACTGCTTAGGTAAATCGTGCTCATGGCACCTCTTAATCTGGCCTCCTCACCTCACAGATGTGTCATCATAGAACCCCAAGCAGCAGAGCCTGTTCTGGGCTTTTACACCAGGGACATCATAATATCAGCGTGTGTGGTTAACATAAGGACAGAGATTGTACAAATACAGACTGGAAAATTTGGGCAAAACCACACTCTGTTTGTGTTTGGGGGACAGAATTAGAGAGATGGAAGCTCTTGAGTTCTTTGCTGTCTCTGAGTACTTTGTCATTCAGAAGCTTGTACCCACTGCTCCATTAAGTCAGTGATTTCCAGACCTGCAGACTCTGCGTTGATGTGTCTCAGACATTTTTGTTGTGGTCGGGGCACAGAAAATAAGGTTCATCAGCATCTTTGTTGGTGGACGTCAAGATTTTTGGTCAACATTACACGACACACAAGGTAGCTGTTGCTACAGTGAGATACAGGTCCCAAATATCACTAATGCTGTGTTTAACAAGCCTGTTGCAGGCATGTCTTCCTTCCACCGTGTGGCCCTGCTCAACACCGCTGGTTTATACACCAGAGACACTACACATTTATGTCGTGCTGGCCATGGTCCCCACATCTGTGTGCTGTACACATACTCTACCACTGAGCTCCTCCCAAATCTAGGCACACTGGAGACTTTATCATGTGTTTCCCTTAATTCCCTTGATATTACTTACCAGATTTATTTGCTGTGTCTGACTCATGACAGAGTCCTCACTGATTGTCTATATCACACTTAAGGGCCTTTCCACAGATACGCAAAAGCAGGCTTGTCTAGTTCTGCCACTGATATAAATGCTACAGGGAACACATTCTTTCTAACTGCCCTACGAGGTTTGAGAAAATGTCATAGATAATCAGGACTGTATTTGCTGGTGTAAAGAATGTGTATACATTTAATCTCTTAATTTCCTCCATCGACTGATACCTGCAGTGAACAGTAGTGCTTATTTCTCATGACCAACCCCACCAGCTCATCTGGTTGGATAAAGTTCCTTGACCCACAGTGAAATTTATGGTAAATTTTCATTTTTCCTATTTTATGTCTCTCTTATGCATCTTTTTCTTTTATGTATTCTTTTTTAATCTTTTGTTTTAAAACTATAAATCACCTGCTCCTGCTAGGGAGCTCATATTTGTAATGTCTCGTATTTGTAATGAGTTTTTTTTAATATCTATTTTTCTTTCTAGATGTTTCCTTGTACTTGTAGAGAATCAAAATACTTTCCCCCGATTTTCCACCATCATGTGGTTTTCATCAACTGAACAGAAGTTGTTACTCTTTTTGTTTTGGGGAGGGGGTTGGTACCAGAGATTGAACCCACAACCTTGTGCCTGCCAGGCAGGTGCTTACACTGCTGAGCTAAATCCCTGGCCTTTTTTTTCGTATCTTTTCAAAATCACCTTAACATGAAAGGCTTTACAAATTTATTCATGAATGTTTTCCCACTCCTAAAAGAAAATTATTTCTTTTATACTTTGCAATTTTGAATTTTATATTTTTGTCTTGATTCTTCCTTTACATCTTTAAATGTGTGTTACTTGGCCTATACAATGAGTAGCTTTATGACCATAAAGGAATGAAAAATAACCTCTTTCTTTTTATTTGTTCTCCTGGCATTATCAACCCTAAGTTTTGAGTAAAGCAGAAATTTTTCTTGAAATTTCTTATGCCTTTAATTTGTCTATGTGCTTTGAAGTTAAAACTTAATAGACTGTATCTATATAGCATGTTCCAAATAATGGGAAAGGATAGGTGCCTGTTTTTAAAATAGAGATTCAAATAACACTATTTTTTTTGTTTTGTTTGTTTTCAGGAGAAATTCTAGAAAATTTTTCATAAAATTTATAGTTGATTCACCCATATTACAGATGTAGTTGTTTTAAAGATATAATTTCATGGTCTTGTAACATATCACATCATCTCATCCAAGTCTGTACATTATTTTCCATAATTTCAGATCATTTCCAATTTTATTTTTATGTACTTTCCTCCTTTGAGAGGGCTACAGATTTTAATAAATTACACATAATGTTCACAATAGTTTTATAAAGTCAGACATATAAATGGTCTAATGTGAGATCATTTCAAGGTATCAGTAAAGACCTTACTTTACAATGATAGTGTTTTTTTTTTTGTCTTTTTCATTTTTATCAGTACCAGGGATTGAACTTACGACTGCCTGCTTGCAAGGCAGACGCTTATGCCACTGAGCTAAATCCCCAGCCCCCCTTACAGTGATAGTTTAGGAGGCGTTTTCTTCAATAAAGCAACATACTGTTTTCATAGTCGAGTCTCTTACTTCCTTGGAGAGGTTAATTCCTAAGTATTTAATTTTCCTTGATGCTATTGAGAATGATGTACGTTTTGTGATTTTCCTGATTTTATAGTGAACGCCTCTAGCTCTCTCCACTCACATGCAGTTTGTTGTCCATTGCTTTTTCATAAAGGACTTTGATCAGTTTGAGGTGATCCTATGCTTATTTTCTTTTAGAGTTTTGTTAATGAATGGGTGTTGGATTTTTCTCACAAATGGTTTCTCTCCATTGAGATAATCTTGTGGCTTTTGTCCTTGCTTCCATGTATATGGAATATGACTTCATTGATTTGCGTATGTTGAACCACCCTTTCATCCCTGGGATGAAACTGTGTGGTCATGAAGTATGATCATTTTGATGTATGTTGCGTTCTATTTGACAATATCTTTTTTTTTTTTTTTTTGTACCAGGGATTGAACTCACGACCTTGCATTTGCCAAGCAGGCACTTATGCCACTGAGCTAAACCCCCAGCCCGATTTGCCAATATCTTACGACTCTGAAAAGGAAATCAAAGAAGTTATCCAAAAATGGATAGATCCCCCTTCCGGGATAGGCAGAACCAATCTTTTTAAAAATGGCTGCACTTCAAACATTGATACACAGAACTAGAGAAAACAAACCTAAAGTGTGTATGGAGCAAGAAGAGACCTAAAACAGCAAAAGTAATCATGGACAACAAAAACAAAGCAGAAAGAGTCACAGTACCTGACTACAAGTGCAGTACTGTGTTCTCTTGCTCTGTGAGGAAAGCTATTGGTATTTTGATAGGGCTTGCATTTGTGTCATGGCAGAGACTGAATGAGAAAGCGGATTGGAACATCTAACTGTGTCCTTTCAAGACAGGCAAAAATCTTTTAAAAATGCAGGTCTTCTAATTAAACATATTTATAAATTTAATTCCCTTTCTAAAATGTTTACTATATTCATGTGTCCTTGATATGTTCCTATACTTAATCAAATTGAAACAAGACTTTTTGGTTTCTTTGTAGTTCTTGAATAGATACTGAACTTGTCTGAAAGCTAGATCTTTATAATCTGTCTTTCCATTGGTAATCACCTTTATTTTATTCATGTAGTTTCAGTGAGTGTTTAAAGCATGAGAAAAAAATTCTTTTTCCAGTTGATCTTGTCTTTAGCAGTATATATCTCTTTGTTTTTGTATAAAATGTTTCATTTTTTTTCCGGGGAGTTAGCTTAGTTGCATAAGCACCTGCTTGGTGAGCAAGAAGTTGT